TCCAAAATCAACCCTGAAACAGGGCCTTATTATAAACTCTGCAATAAAAGGCAATACCAGGATGCAACGGTGAGTTAGTCAAAGAAAAAAATTCAAAATCATTTTTATTGTGAAGATTTTAGTATCGAAAAAAGCAGAGCATCTCCACATATGGCGGGTTGGGACCAAGCCAGTCAAAAAAAATTTAACAGGCACGCATGCAATAGTTGGAGGTCAACGAAACTGAATTTCTGAGCTCTCTCAAATACACATGGAACCTATTCAGCTGATTCTTTTTGCACCGTCGGCAAAAACTTAGTTTATGGCAGTTTTGACAAAAATTCGTGTAATTTCGGCTCGCTCTCCAATAGACGATACGGTTGACTGCTAAAACGTGAGAGGCACATAATTTAAGGAAGGATTCGCCGAGCCAATCACCATCAGCGGTGAAGAACGTGGAACTCAGACAGAGCCGATCTGCGAAGATGTGAAAAACGATACGCTTAAAGCTTCGAGACGGAGCCGATCTGCGAAGATGTGAAAAACGATACGCTTAAAGCTAATTAGTAGGCGCGGCAACAGCAGGACCTCAGAAAAAATTTCGTTGACTCCAGCAAGCAACGGAGCGGAGCAGCCATGGCTGAGTGGGTAAGGCACGCGCCTCTCAACATGAGGGTCATGCATTCGAATCTCACTTCGGTCAGTTGAAGGGTCCCAGTTTCATCCGCCTCTTCAAGGTTGGATCGGCTACGGCGAAATGGATGACATTCCCCCGCCCCACGGTTGGCACTACATTGAGTAGGACCGGGTCTAGAAAAAAGCAATGAAGCGGTGACAAGATCATGAGAACGAAAATCGTTCTCATGCCTTGAAAAAAAGCATGAGAACGAAAATCAGCGCAACGACGAAAAACCGCCAATACGGGGCAGAGCCGAAACTGGCGGGCAATCCTTCTCAACGACATAGAGCCCGCCGAAACAAAACAAGGAGGCACCTGAAACACACATGGATCGATTAATGAGCGATGAAGACCCAGGGGTTGGCAACTGAATGGCTGCCTATGAGCTTGATCAAAACAAAGCAGCCACAGAACGGCAGTATTGAAGATATTTATTTGTAGATCTAACTAGGAAAGAGAAAAATCAAGAAGCTACCTAAATCAGAAACTTTCGACATCGCGGGTAGGAAAACTGCTTTCAAACAGTCTCAAATCTATTTCGGGGTGAACAGTTGTACTTTGCAGGCATTCTGAACTTAAGTTTAAATGGGCGAAAAGATTGATGAGAAGAGTCAAGTCAGGCTCAGCAGAAGATGCTTTGGCCAGAAAGGGGAGGAGAATAGTACCGCGCACAGAACAAGGACGAAACAGAAAAGATGACGGAGTCGCTGCGCGATATCGTCGAAAGCGAACGGTTTCCAACGGCCAGGCACAAAGCTGGGGGTTAGGAAAAGACAATGGTATAATTCAAGAGACCTTGACTTTAAAGCGGAGCATAAATCTGCCAGCCGACGATCCGGATGACATTTTGTAAATTTTAGATGGTAAGGGGACCAGCCTCACCTGTGACACTTAGGCGGACGAAACAATTTACTTTGCTGAGTTTCGCATCACTTGCGATACAAAACAAAAAAAAACAAAAAAACAAGGAAAAGTTTGAAAAATTAGATCTAATAAAATGAATAAGGCTAGTTTTGAAACAAAAACATGACAAGACAAAAGAATGAGTAATTTAATGTGTAATTAAAAGTAATTCAATGTAATTAAAGAAAACAAAAACATGACAAGACAAAGGATGTGTAATTTAAGGTAATTAATATGTAATACCTATTAACGTTTCAGGTGTCTGAAGTCTTGTCGATTTTTTCGGCTTAAATCGTTTCTGATAGAGTATTTTCGGCTTTGTTAGCGCTGGGTACATTATCTTCGGATGCTTACTTTATCGGAAACGATTTAAGCCGAAAAAATCAAGACTTCAGACATCTGAATCGTTAATACATCCACGTCAACCTCAAAACACTTCATTTGCTCGTCAAAGAAGCAATATGAGGACACTAAGCCGACATAAAATAGGCCGAAACCTATTAAGCCCAAAAAAAAAAAAAACAGAAAAGCCAAAAAATCAATTAAAAAAAACATTAAGACTAAGATGTTAAGTCCCCCTCAACCTCAAAACACGCACACAAAAACTTTTTTCGCTTGTCGAAAGACGCAATATGAGGCAAATAAGCCGATACAATATACGCCGCAACCTATCAAGCCAAAAAAGGAACAAAAAATCAAAAAAGCCGGAAAAAATTGTTATCATAAAAAATTTAACTATATTTCTATTAAGAAACTTAGCAATTTGCGCGATCCAGAGGTGAGCATAGAAAAGAATTTTCCGTTGAAAGACTCAAAATTAGGTGACTATGCCGATTGAAAAAAAGGCCAAAATCATTTGGGCAGAATGAAGTTTAGTTATATATACGAAGTCAATTTTAGTAAAATTACAAAATACAGAGGCTAATCAGAAGACTAAAAGCAACTATAATGAAAAAAAAACTTATAAAAAAATCTACAATATGGCAACTAAGCCAACAAAACAAGCAGACAATAATAAGTCGACCCTATTTTTTGAAACGGACTATTTCCCGTTTGAAAAAAAAACAGGTCCTGTCAGTTTTGCACCCAGGACCTTTGGCGTCCCAGGCGTAATGGTTACTCCCAGACTAAGTGTGCCGGAGACGCTAACAAATTTGAATTCATTATGAACCAAAATACCAACTGATTCAAGTGATTCTGTTAAACAAGTTGTTAACCCGAAAAAAAGTCTTTATTCCAGTTTGATAACGCTTGCAAATCGCAAGCGGAAAAATGAATTCTAAGAGTTGAATAAAGCATCTCAGACCTACGAAGGTAAATTAAACTGCCAAACAGTTTTAATGCACAACTGAATAAAAAATAAATTAATACAAATACACCTTGAATATAGAATATACTAAATCATACAAACTGTCCTTCCAAAGGCATTCAAAGAGCATTAAAGAGCATTAGAAATTTTTATTTGTCCTTCGTGGAAGTTAGTGAGCTAAAAGTTGTCTGAAGGCTATTGATGACTGACGTAACCCTAAACCCTACGAACTGCTTGATCGTTGCAAAAAAATGCTATCACCTTGAGGCGTGGTGTTGAAGCTTGTGTATTCACTTGTCAGTTCGAAAGGATCACAAGGAACCTGTTTATGAATTTAAGCTCGAAGTTTAATTCTTTCGCTTCTGATTTCTTTTATAAGCCCACGAGGAAAATTATCGAGGATAGGTCACCAGTTCCAAGCACTTCATATAACTTGAATGTTTTGATATTCAGGAAAACCTACATTATTGTTGTTTAGTCGACAATTCAAGTCAACAAAACTATTATCGCAGAGGCAAAACAGAGCATCACAATACCTGCTTTACAGAAATGCCTAAAATTGATCAAAAAAATAAAGGAAAAAAATCTTCAACAATTTTTTACAAAAAAAAAACTAACCACATCAACTTCAGCGAAATACTAATCAATTGAAAAACACTTGTAACACTTGAAAAGGTTTATAATCCTATCTGTAGTTTAGAAAACGGCCAGACAAACCTCAAAAAGTGAAGAAAAAATATGATTTTAAAATTTTGGCAAATGAATGAAACACTTCGTTTCGCTTAATTTTCATCGATTTTCTTTTAAAAAATGAGATTACACCGCAATACCGATTTGCAAAAAATAAAAAACCAGCGGAGCAACTTCTTCTAGACAGCTACTTGAAATGGCAGAAAAGATGTTGCAAAAAACGAAACGTTTGCTATACAAAAACCACAATAGTTAAAAACAATTTAGCGAGCTCTGTCATATTTTCCTTAACAGGATATAAGCAATTATTTTGTGTTAAATCACAGAGTGAACCAAGAATTGTGTTTAGAAAAAACCGAGCTATATCAAACAAGACTGCTCGTATCAGGGCAAAGCCCTGAATGTTCCGACTGCCTTTTAAGGTTTATGGAGCAGTAATAACATTAAAAAATTAAATGTATTAAAATAAAATGAAAATTTTTTTTTCTAAAATTTGAAATTTTTTATGAAAACCATCCCCCACACGCCATATAAAGTACAAAAATACAGATTTCGCTCCTTGTAACAAATCAATTATGGCAAATAAGCTTCTTTCAACCAATTTGGAACGATTTCTAAGACGGATTCAATCTCCGCTTACGCGTTAATAGCGCGAAATATATCGCGCGTTAATTAACCCAAATTGGCCAAAACGGCAATCTTTAAATCCCCATAAGTTTACGAAAAATGATCACAGGTAAAATTTTGTTTCGAACTCAGGCTCAGGACAACAATACTTTTTGAATGATATAAAAAATGCCGTCAAAAATGGCTAGTTAAAAAGTCGAAATTTGTCTGAAGAAAAAAAACCCACCCCGAGCACAAATATTCCGTTACTTTCGTATCGAAAGTCGGAACAATTACTTTGTTTTAGCAGATATTGGCAGCAATCGAAAATTGAGCTGCCTCATTATGGCAATTCTAGATATAATCAATAACTGGACCGGTTTTGTTGAAAATTGAAATAAATCAATGCAGAAAGACAAAAACTAGTGACATTTTACGGTCAATATTCAGTTTAATACAAAAACATAAACATGTTCTGGTGAACTCGGCTGCTGGTCATACAAAAATATACATGTAGAATGTACTCCTATATTGGTAAACAATAGTCTAGAGAAACAACAAAAACAAATCCAGAACGTGAATATTTTACAATTTTAGTTGAATACTGAATTATGAATTCTGGCACGGTCGGATATATAAGCGTGTTGCGTGTGTACACATCAAACATAGTTGTACTACGCTGCACCACCTCGAGTAAATGCAGCTCGCTTCAGTTTAATGTTGTCTTTTCAAGTATTTTTTCATTAAATCACTTAGAGCTTTTATTTTGTTTGATTGCTTTATGATTGCGTCAGCGTAAAACATAAAACTATTACGTTTTATTTTCTGTTTTAGAAACAAGAATCTTCTTACACATCGATTAAAACAGGCTACCATTTGAGTACAACTCGCAAATACGTTGTCAAACAACCCCAAAAAGTCAAAGATTTCGTTTGAATGTACAAATAAAAGCGAAGGACAGACGACTCATTATTTGTCGGCAATTCCAGAATTGCGTATGTTTAATTGTGACATCCTGCCAATTACCCCAAATTCAGTTAAACTCGATCTTAACTTGGGTCGCGACGCGATCGTCTCAACATCACGCCATTGAAGTTGTCGTCAGAACATGGAGGATTTATTGCCGTATGCATTGCCTTACACACTTTCCACACTATTTTACATTGTGTGCGCATTTGGCCTTGCGGAGTGTTTTTTCTACGGAAACTTCCCTAATCACTACAACAGTCTGAGCAAAGCTCAAAAATTGGAATGGCTTTCAAATTTCGGCTCTTCTATCAACAGTCTGCTAGCTGGTCTGGGAGCACTGATTGGACTGTTTCTACCTTTAGCTCTCGAACAGCAATTCTCAATCATCCGTTACGTGGTCATCTCAATTACTGGTTACTCTCTCGGAGACACTCTATTCCGAATCTACCATCGCAAGACGCTCGACAAGCCTTCCTTCCAGAACTTTCTTATTTTTCATCACATTTTAGCGGCTGTTGCAGTCCAGGTTGCAGTGATGCACAAAGAGGCGCTTCAGGCTAAGTTTCTTTTCATCCTAATGGAGCTCTCGACTATCTTCATCAACATTCGATCCATGCTGCTGGACGCCAAAATCAAGCGATCATCACTTTTGTACCAGACTATGTCTCTTACCATGATGGGCATGTACTTTGTCAGTCGGATTGCCCCCATTCCCATGGAGTACTACTTGATAGTGTACAGATGTCTATACATCGGAGACATCTGCAGTCCCGAAACTGCTTTCTTCATGGGTCTCAACTCAATTCCTTACAACTTTCTCACAATTGCTAACCTCTACTGGTTCAAGAAAATAGTGTTCGGACTCATAATCCATCTTAAAAAGATGAAGGATCCAAAAGGTCTGGACTCAATCGAAAACGAACTTTTCGGAGATGCTGACTAGCCAATACTTTCAGGAAAAAATGCTCAAATTCATCACAATTTTTATTAAATTATCTTTCGATATGATTTTTAATGCAACAATTTCGACGTCAAAACTATATTTGCTAATTTCATTCATGTTCATCAGCCAAGCTAAGTTTTTAATTTTAATTTCTGTCATTTTCAGAATCAAGTGTTTGTACTTTTGAATATTGAATATAAAATGAGAAGGCAAGTCCTGGAAAAAAAACAAATTAACTATAATAGATCAAAACAGTGAAGTAAGTTCGAAAATTTATAACGATGATTCAAAATTCAGAACAAAACTTTTTTGAAGAAACCCTCATATATAAAGATAAAATTATACGATGGCTACACATTGTCAAAAAACGCAAAAACACCTGAATTGAAAACTTTTAATCGATGAAACAAATGAAAAACCAATTGACGTATAATCTCCAACTTAATGATAGCAATGATTGATGTAGCTCTAAATTCTTACATTACTTTCAATGGTGTGCTCAAAAAAAGTGGATGGCCCGTTTTTTCTACTTTAATAGGGCGACCAAAATTTGGAACACTCTCCCCTCACACTTAGTGTATGTTGGCACTGAAGGCGATCAAAAACTTCAGGGTTGATCAAATAATAATAACACAACAAATTGAAGAGCTTGGTATTCTCGTAAATCAAATAAATTGAAGGATACCCAACCTGAAACATAGCCGACAAAAGGTTGGACACTTTTCAACTTTTACCAAGAAAAAATCTATCAGGTCAAAGCTAATTGAACTTCAGTAACAATGAATGATTGAACTTTTTGAAATTAAATTAACCCAGTTCAAGAAAACTGGATCACTGGTTAAAATATTTTTCCAGTGGGAAATCTTAATATGAAAATCGAGTTTCAAAACTTGGAGCCGCTCATGTTTTTCCGCTTTCGCAATTGGAGAGCGGAGTTTTACCTAACTTTTTGCAGATTCAATTAAATTGAATTCAAAAAGTGCATATATTTTTAATAACATAAATGCATTTATATGTATGAAAGCACTTTTGCAGTTCTTAGGGCATGTTTTTTATGATTTGATTTAAGTTTTCTGAAAAAAACCATTCAGACCGCAAATCATTATCAGGCTACGCTTGGAAGAAAAATAAAAAAGACCGAAAACCGAATCAACTTCACAGAGAAAACATGGCATGAAAGCTCGAGTAATTTCAACAAAACCGCCTTGCTGACCTTCTATTCATAAATCTGACCCAATTTTAGGACAAAAAGCGAAGCTGCATTACAAGAACACAAGCAAAAAACGGCAAAAAGTAGCACTAAATACATGTATGCACTATTTCTTTTTTCCAGTGGTACATTCAAAAAAAAGCTTGCACTTTCGAAACTAGATTTATTTCATGAAATCGTATACAAGTAAGCGCTAGGTGGCTTAAGCCAAGCACGTCAGTAGAAAGATTCGATGCCGAATCAAAAAGATAATCCTACAAATCTAAATTTTTTGAAAAAAAAATTAAGCTAAAGCATGCACAGATAATCAAATCAAATCGACTTGAAACTACATTGACAATGCAAGCAATTTTTCAAACATGCACTTGTCAAAGAAAACAGAGCGATGTAAATATGTGAATTACTTCAAGGCTTCACCTTCTTTCATCAAACGTCTTCAAAAGTTAATTCCAACACGAAATTTCAGCAAAGAGGCTTCGCTGCAATTCAAAAACAAAAGCAACGCAAAAAACTTTTAAAATTCAAAGAAGAGAAGAAATGAAAAAGTAGAGAGTTTTGACTAATGTTCTCAACGGAAACTGAACCTGTCTTCGGACATGATATTTTTCCAGTTGAATGCTCTACGCAGTTGTAACTCTGCCGCTTTTATAAATCGACAAAAATGATCTGCAAAATGTTGTAACTAATAATTTGGAAGGTAATGATCTAAAGGCAACCATACTACCTTAGGGTGTAATAAATTGGAAAGTCTATAGCCAAATTGTGTATAAACTTTCAAAAATTTAAATTGAGTTGCATAATTCCTGAAACTTTTCTAGTTATTAGAAAAAATAGCTTTATTCGGTTCCTTAGATGAAATAAAAGTCCATTCACGGTGTTAAATTATTCATAAACAGCCAACTGACAATTGGAAAAGAGTAATGCACGCAAGGAAACTTAAAAAAAACGACTTGCTTTTTTAAAAATCTTCAACTTCTGAATTTCGAGACAAAAAAGATGACCGTAAAGCTCTTTGAATTTTATAGAACAATTTACGATGGAAACTTTTATGTGACAATTAACCCAATTCGAGAAAACTGGATCAATATGTAAAACTTTTATATCGCTGGGAAATCTGATATTTAATTTCCATTTTCGAAATTAGAAGTCGATCACGTTTTTTGTGCCTTTTACAACTTTGCTGTTCGATAGTAGAGTTTGCCTTCCTTTTAACAATGGAAATGCACTGAGCTGAAAAAATCACCAGTCAAACCGCGAAAAATCACAAGTCAAACCGCAAAAATTCAAAATTGAGCGTGAACAAATTTTAAGACTTTTTCCTGAAAAAATTATTAAGATTTATATAAGAGACTGAACTACGTTCATTACTATTAATCAATTTTGTAGAACAATTTACGATGGAAACTTTTATGTGACAATTAACCCAATTCGAGAAAACTGGATCAATATGTAAAACTTTTATATCGCTAGGAAATCTGATATTTAATTTCCATTTTCGAAATTAGAAGTCGATCACGTTTTTTGTGCCTTTTACAACTTTGCTGTTCGATAGTAGAGTTTGCCTTCCTTTTAACAATGGAAATGCACTGAGCTGAAAAAATCACCAGTCAAACCGCGAAAAATCACAAGTCAAACCGCAAAAATTCAAAATTGAGCGTGAACAAATTTTAAGACTTTTTCCTGAAAAAATCATTAAGATTTATATAAGAGACTGAACTACGTTCATTACTATTAATCAAGTGCCAACACAAATGACAATTCAGTCTCCTGCTGTTAGCACCAATCTTTGCGACTTAGGTTGAAAAAAGTAGCCTTGTAATTATCACACTACGCACCGTGCGTGTGGTATTGCTACGGCAGTAGCCAATTAACCTATAATTTTAGTGTTATTAATATTATGTAATGCCGATCAAGGTCAAGGTCAGTCACCGTGCTTGATCTAAAAGACCATATCTTCAATTCGGTGTGCTGATATAGCGATTTAGATCCAAGGTTACTCTGCATACTTAGTTAAAACAATGGATCTTAACTTATGAATTCAGTCTTACGGGCATTCGATTATTACACAGATCATGTGATATAAAATGCGTATAGAAAAAAATTAAATACAATTTCGTTTGAATGCCAGAAAAAATTCTAAGACGTACACCAAATTTGTTAAACCTATAGCACAACCTATTCAAATAAAAACAAACTAACAAAATAGTATAGAAAATTAAAGCAGAAAAACGAGAAATGAATCTTATTTAAATGATTTGAGCTGATTTTCAAAACAACAAAGGATCCACTACGAAAAACCAACCGCAAGTTAAAAAATGAAACAGTAAAAAAATACTCCAGGAATGTTTTTACTTATCATAGAAAAACGCGAGCGGAAGAGGAGCTCCGAACCACTTGAAATATGTGACAGAAACCACTTGAAAACATGTGACAGAAAGTAAAAGCGGAACAATTCATATTTTTCAGAATCACTAAAATATTACAATCTAGCACTTCTCTTGCCCTACTTACTCATAAATATTAATTTGGAAACTTAAATCAGGCGAATGAAAAATTTTTGAAGTAGGAAAATCTGAATTTTTTTTACGCCGTAATACTTTGAAAAACAATTTTTGCAATCATATTTCAAAAAATTTCAAAAACGTTAGAAAAGGCAATTTTTTGCTCGGTTTCAAAAAAAGCTTTGAAAAAATGGTAATTAAGAAATTTTGATAAAAACGCCGACCAACAGACATAAATGTGACAAATGTAAATCCACGAGTGCTACTTCTGTAGCGTATGCAAAGTGGCATAGATAACCCGAAACTAAACTCAAGTCAGCAAACAAGAAGCCGAAAAATCATCAGAAAAAAATTTATAGCTAAAATTATACATTTTTTTCTGCCACAAGCATTTTTCGACTCCATCTAAAAACGAATCACGACTATACCGATTTTAATACGATAACAAACTTGAAACCCGTACAAGCTTTTCTTGAGATACCTAAAATAAAGCGGCAAAAAACTCCACCAAAGGCCATATTTTCTTCAAATCACTTTGTTGTCACAGCACATTACTTTCATCTTTTCTGTTCTGCATTAAAAAAATTGTCTCTCATATTAAAAAGCAAACTTCAACAAGAATAGCCGGTTGATGTGCAAACAGCACAACATTTTGCAATCACCTTCATAAAAACTACAACTCTTTTTCAAATTGGTGTCGTCGTTTTTTGAGCGTGGAATAATGAGAGAACTATACTAACGCGTAGAAAGCTAGTGAATTGGACATAAACAAAACATTCAAAAAAATCTACCTTCAAAAAAACCGACCCTTGTATCTGCAGGCACGTACATTACATCTAACCCATATGTGCGGATAAACGGCCTGATTTTGATCTTAATTGAACTTACGCTATTTTGACAATTAAGTTAAAAAGACGACAACCAAGAGACATTTTGAAAATTAAGTAAAAAAGACGACAGCCAAGAGACTGAAACAACCACAAACTTTCTGCTAAAACTTATTGGAAAATTGCAAGTACCACCCACATGTAATCTACGATGGCTACATACGTAGTGGATGCAAGGTGGCATGCATCATTCGGAAACTTAACTGGCAGAGTTTAAGTCGACAACCATGAAGCCGAAAAATCATATCAAAACGCTACAACAATACAATGTTTAAAATTCTAGATATAGCATTGACCAGCAGTTACAAATAGCCCGTTTTTGTATTCAACTTTTTAAGTAAATAGGAATGTCAGAAGACGTGATGATACCGCCAGAACTACTACTGATCCGTTGGAAGTGATAATACAACCTTACAAATGATTCCATTGATTTTGTACACCTAACTGCTGGCCTGGAAAAAATTTAGTCTCATCAATTAACACTGTTCTGACTTTCATGAAAATATTCACAATCATTTTCCGTAAACTGCCTCCTATTTCGAAAATAAACTTTGACTGTGTTGTGAAAGAAAAACAAACAACAAAACTCA